AAAGTATTGGCACCACTGCCTCAGAGCAATTCTGCTGTGGCAAATATACTGCTGCTCCTACAAACACCTCATTTTCTCTTCTTTGTTGATATTGTCTATTACAGGGTCTTTATCTCCAAGATAACAAGACAGTCCACCTTATTACCTATCAATGAGGACCAGTATAAGGTTTCCTTTCATTTTCACTGATAGTGAACATTCTTCACATAGGCAGAATGGGATATCCTAAGTCTCTGCTCATTCCTATAAGATGCTTAAAAAACTACAATAGAATAAAATTGCCAGTGAAAAAGAAAATATGAAAATAATAGCTGAAGAAATAAATATTATTGTCTTCCACTGAGAACTTGTTTATTTGTTTACCTGCTTTTCTGAAGTCTGGTCTCTCTTAAGGGGAAGGTCTTTGTTAAACTGTGGCAAGGAACAGGAACAGCAGGACCATTCATCAGTGGCAGGAAGAGCAATGAAGCAGCAACCAACCTTGTTAAGGATACAGGTGTTTGTCTTTTACAAATGTAATGTGACATCTGGCATAAAAATACATCAATAGGGTAAATTCCCACCCAAAAGTTGGATGATTGGGAAACAATTACAGAGTAAGCACTTTCTTGGAAAAGATCAAATTTCTCCCTGTGCGTGGACTTCACTGGTAGATAAGGTAATTCTGCATTTGGTATTGCTTTATTGAAGCACTTCTGACTATAAGTTTCCACATTGTGATGATGAAAAGCTATGCCTTGGGAATATGCTTCAATCTATATGCTTCATGCACCCAAAGGTGTATCCACTGTTCTGAAATGCAGTACCTGCAAGCAAGCGAGGTAAAAGAGAAGGCCTTCTGTCCTTCAGGATCAAATGTTCTTTTGATTTCTGGAATAGATTTCTCCACACAAAAGCAATGTGCTGCTGTAAACATTAAATACTTACCCTCTTCATGCAAACCAGTAATTTTCAACAAGAAGGTTACAGATCACAGGAGGTTTATCAACCACTGCTGGAAAGTCTGAGGAAGGTAGCTCAGAAGCATCAACCAGAAAAGCCACTCAGAAAAAAAAGACAGAGTGTCCATAAATCTATTCTCCCCTTGTTCTCCCTGTGGAAGTTGCTATACTCCACACTCACTCCTACTCCTCTTCTGGGACCTCTTAATTCAGTGGCTCAGTTTCTCATTTCTTATCTGCTTCTTAAAAAAAATTCCATTTTACATTTGAATTCTTTCCCCCTCCCTTAAAAATAAAAAAAACTTCTACCAATTAACTACTAAAAAATTTTCTATATCATCCCTCCCTGAGCAGACAGTGTTGGCCATTCTAATATAACAATTCAGCACCTCTTTGCTTTAAATGCGCTGCATATTTAAAAACAAACATAACTGTAATTTCTTAATGACTTTCCCTCAGGTGATCCCCTCCCAAAGTACAATTAGAGGTACTGAAGTGACTCTATGCACGCATTGACTCAGGCATACATACCTGATTACTCCRCTTGTCTGCTTCCAGAGTGTTCAAGGGTTATTGCCGAGCTTAATTGACATTCATAAAATGTTGCATTCAGTGAAATGGCAGAGATTAATCAGCTGGAGAGGAGAAAATTTATTTCTGGTCTTCTGTCTACACTAACAGCCCAACTGCCACAACTCTGACCACAGGACTCACAGTTCCAAACAGTGGCCAGGCTGGACCTAACACCACAAGAAAAGGCTAGGAGAGATGACCAGCGCTCTCACTGCATCAAGTTACAGGACAAAGCCAACAAATGCTGTCTTGCCACAGGTAGGAGTATGTTGCCCACTGGAGAGAGACTTGGGAATGTACTAAGCAAAAGTATGCTTTCTTCAGGTGCTGAGGAGAACTACCATCCTGTTTATGCACCAACCCAGCCACAAGTGGCATATCAGGTCAAAAGAATCACAGATAACAACAGCATGCGGACAAGTCCAGATTCTCACAGGAATGTGTACCAGCACTTGTCCACTCTTATAAACCCAGCTTGTAAWGGTCCTATAATATTATTGTATCATTTTGTTTGGTGACAGCTGAATTTGCTGGATTGGAAGCAGAGGCAGTAGTCATTAACCTAGGCAAATTGAACATATGTAACATAAGAATAAAAAAATAGAAATATATAAAACTCAGGCCACAGATAAAGACATTTTTCTGAGTATATTTACTTTTAAAATGCACTTGCAAAATAAAAGCAGAGACTCATGTAATTGTGTTTTGTTCTAATTCTCCTGTAGCAGTAGCAGCAAAGGACACATTACAGGGCATGGCCTGGTCTTTACAAAGCCCTGAAGCCAAAACTCTAAGCCTGTTTTTCTAAGTATCTGCCAATCTCCAAAAGCACCTGAGTTTATGACACGATGTTGAGTTTAGGATTATCTGTACACTGAGTTAAGTTCTTAAAATATATTATTACATAACAGTTTTTTGGAGCCCTTACTCAGTTTACTACATGATTTTCCTCTGGGACAAAATCCAGAGAACATAGTGATAAAGGCTATGCTTTCTGGACACTTTTTCCCCTCTATATCATTTATCACAACAACTGSCAAGTGATAAAAGGTAAACTTGAAGAAAACAGAAGATGTCACAATGAAAGTAATGAATGTGGCTTTTTGCCATGGAGTTCTTCTGCAGCACCAGTCACGCCATTTAATCACACTTTTGACTATTTTTTAGCAACTGCATGTTCCTCATCTCCCCATATGTGGCTTGAGATTGTGGGTTGTAATTTGAAGCAGAGCTGGAGTCAGCTTGTCSTTGATTTATGTGGATGCTTTACTTTTCAGCAGTACCAAACTGAGTACTCTGAAATATCAGCTCCTCAGCACATCAGTCATAAATTAGTGCAGATAACAAACAGAGGATACAAAAGCCTCATCATGTCATGGGAGTATTATGGAATAAATTCAGTAGGGAGGCACAAGAAAAGAAAGTGCATTAGGAAATTATTCTCTCTGATTTCAGGGCAGACTTTTGTACTGCTTAGTAACTTCGAGGCATTTGATTTTACAGTCTTTGTGTATAACTTCCTAGATGCTTCCCAAATCAAAGCTTGAACAGAACAGAATTAAATCACTGCAACTCCTGGGTGCCTGTCACAGGTACCCACCACTATCCACAAGTCAAGACTTCTGGATCCAAAGCACAAGCCTCTGTTCCTGAGCCAGATAAGCCACCTTCCTGCTAGTAAACCAGCAGAAGAGGTGGCAAGACAATTGCTTTATCAGGTGTGGCTAGTGGCTGATAGAAAAGGTAATTCAGGGACAGCAGGTTCCATCATGAAAAGAAGAACATGCTCTGACAGGTAAAATGCACACCCACTCTTTTTGGATTTTGTTCACAATGCCCAGCTCTTCCTATCTGTCCTATGCATGCAGAAGGCTTTCTGTAATAGCAGCTCCTGGTTAGAGGCCAATGTCTTTGGCCCATCCAGCTGTGTCCTCCTTTCTCCAGAAAGCTTCTCTTATCAGTCCCACTGCCCTTGCTAAGCCACACTCAGCTCTCTCCTTTCCCTCCAATGTCACTGCTCTCCCAGCAACTCCCAGGTGAAATATACTGCTACTTTCTTGCTCAGATGCGTGCCACTTACTTCATTCCTGCCTTGTCTTTAACCACCCTGCCCAATCTTCCTTTCTCTCAGGGTTTCTCCCAAGCAGCTTCCATCTTTGACTTCGACATATGAACTCTCTTCTGCATCCCTGTGGCCACCTGTCCCCCTTTTTGCCTACTGAAGTTCCAGCTTATAATCATCTCAGTCATTTTTCTTTCCAGACTCAGCTTCCCTTCTCATTCTCTCCTTTATCTTGYACTGTCTCCATGACTTCCTCTTCTCTGTCATCCAGCTGCCTCCCATTCCTTCTCTCATTTTCCCTAATTCCCAGGCCACACCACAATACAAAGAAGACAACTTGCAAGAATATTTTTAAGGAATAAAGCTACATATTCTTCCCTTAGCTTTCCTTTCAGAAATGACTCAATCACTTGGCTGCTATTTGTCAAAGTTTTCCACCTCAAGTTTTCCATCAGCAATGGAAAAAGTGTAGCAAAAACTATTAAAACTTCTCAGAGTTATGAGCAACTGATATACAAAGCCATACCAGGACATGCTGTGGAGACGTAGCAACACACAATTCCATATGTCTCTCCTGGAACTGTACTTATTTATAGGTTTAGTGTTTTCATTGAGATTATTGTCTTGAATAAATTAACTCCATTAACTTTAACTTTGCTTCAGTAAAAAATACTTGCCCTGGCAAGATAGGAAGGGTGTTTAGCTCTAACTTTAACAGACTGCTAAAACTGCTTGCTAAAGATTCCACACTTATGCACATGGAGTCACCTCCAAACAAGGAACAGAGCTTGCTTGCCASTGCCAATAGGCCAGTAGTCAAACTGCTACTCTGCTATCAAATCCTTGTTAAAAAGTACAACTCTAGTATGTCTAAAAGTTACTTGATCTGACCTGTCCAGTACGTGTCTTGGGTTTGCATTTTGCCTACTCATAATTTCTTTGTATCTTACCAATGAACTTTAGATTAATTGTTTAGCAGCTTTAGGCACCCTGAGCTATGCAAGAAAACAAAGGTGTGCCTACTGACATGAAGTTCCCAGGCTTTCATTAAACAAAGACATTATATGAAGGGCAAAGATCTTTATAGAAAGTATAATGATGATTTAAGTACTTCCTTCCAAAATCTTTGCTGAAAACTAAACGGACACATATCCCCCTTAAAGTATCCTTAAAAACATGAACTTTCTGCTTGTATCCTATATTCTTTTTACAGAGAGTTTAAAAGTTCTTATATCTCTCAGCAGTTTTTGTAGGCAAAAAAAAATTAAATTTAAAAAAAAATAGCCAACATAGAAAAAACAAAAAAATTAGTGACTAGCTAAAAAACARTGACTAACTGTTCTAATTTACTCCTGAAGATGGAAAGACTAAAATAAATCTTGGTTTTAGTTCTTTACATCCGCTAAGAGGAAAAAACCTCTCATCTTTCACTTAATTTTTACTTGCTTGTCATCGTGAAAGCTTAGAGTATACTGGTACTGCTTTCTTTCATTTTAGATTCCCACAGACAAGACAGAAACAGTGCAAGTAAGATGCCAGGGACAGTGAACTCATTTTATAAATAAAAGTGTGAGCATGTACAATATATGAAATACATGAGTTCATATTTGGTCAGATAATGTTCTCACACCTGTTCATTCAGGCTTTGGACCAAAGCACTTGAAGAGCTAGTGAATGATATTTGAACAGAGCKGAGTAAAAATAAATGTGTTGTTGTAACATTATCAAAAGGATCTGACCTAACAGATGACAACATCTGATGGGGTAAATCACCTGAATTGGATGTTTCCTCATGTTTTAGGATTGGTTAGTATTATTTAGTATGCATAAAATAGCTGACTTCTACTACAGGACATATTGTATTTGTGGTCCRTAAATTACTTATTCAGTCCTGTGTCAAGTTCATATCACAGCCTTATACCAAAATATTCATTGCAGTTGTTTCATTTGCAAAGTAATCCACAAGYACTAAGTAAGTTACGTTACAATATTACTGCAGAACTTTGGCAGACAACAGCCTCTAAGCTGTTTTCTCTTTTCTGAATGTCTTATATGTCTTATTCTTGTAGCTATATATGTAGTCAAGAATAGTACTCCTTTCATTTTACCAATTTTTGCTTCCTTTGATAAAAGAAAGATTGATACAAAATAATTGATACAGTATTCACTGCATTGTAGCTCTATATGTCTGCTCTGTGACCAAGGCTGCTGTCTGTGAGCCACTTCGCTTTTTGCCAGCAAGCTTGAAAGTTGTGCCTCTGCAGAAACRTTCAGCAGTGAGTGACTCTGCCCAGCACCGTGCTTAAGCGGTCATTCAGTCCAACAGCAAAGATCAAATCCACTCTCTGCAGAGTCACCGAGGAAGATTATGCTGGAAAAAATTTAAAATTGTGTCACAGGGGATAAAAGCCGTGCATGTCTGTATCAAGCAGAGAGGCAGGTGAGGAGCCTGTGTGTGTGCTTATGTCTAAATGACAGTGAAAGCACTGGCTGGCCTGCTGAGCCACTTTCAATTCATGCTTGAGCAACTTTTGTAGGCACTGGTGAAGTTTAGTGACATACAATAATAAGGCAATYGTGGCAATGTGCCTCCTTTGCTCAAAATCCATAATGCTTTTTTGACTCAGGGTTTACATTTTGTTTCAGCTCACTGCATGTGAGACTTGGAATCCTTGGCTGAAACCTTCAGTTTTGTCTATACAGAGAGCACAGTATCAGTTTAATACGCAAAGTTTGTCAAGGCAGTAAAAGACCTGGTGGGGCATGGATGACTCAAGCATGACTTTTTTGCATTTGAATTACTCTAGATTTCAATCAGCATAATCTTTAGCAAGCCCAGGGCTTTGGTTCTGAGGCATTCAGTGAGATACAGTATATAGCAGAAAAAAGTGTTTGTAATTACAAATCAGTGTTTGGGGAGCTCTTCTCCAGTTTCATGATACATTTTCTAATGTCATCGTTTTTGTAGTCAGTACCGTCAGTGTTTTCCATTTGTTTCTTCAGGAAGGATGTGTTTCTGCTAAATTTTAAAATTTTGGCTATTTTTAAGTCGGGCAGTGAAATAAGGCATAGTTACAATGCTAAATGTTAACAGCTCTTCTSGAAGTAGAATTAAGCAGTCAGTGATTGTACCAATAGCTCAGAAATGCCTCTACAGAAWTACATGCTCCCTCCTGAACCCTTACCACAACACCCTAAGCAACTAGCTAGCATAGTAGCCAACATTCCAGCTGCCTATGAGATTGCAGCAGTGTRGAGCTTCTAGAAGTCAAAAGAAGTAGAAAAATATTGATCTCTCTTCAGAGCAAGCATTCAAAATTTTCTGGAAAAACCCCAAGGAGGAAAAAGTTAAMAAGAAGCAAAAACAAAAACCAGGTTTATGGCCAGAGCCATACAATTAAAATATAGCATACCTTCCAAAATGGTGAGGATCATTCCTGTCAACCTTTTACTGAAAATATTGATGTCAAATGAATTTTTTCCTTTTTGCATGTACTGTCAGACAGGAGTGCTGCAACTATACACCCAGGAGAATACATCTGCTAGAARTAACTCAGTTCCGTATCCAGCACAGATACACCTTGAGGCCTTTTGCAAAATCCTTGTCCATTTTCACATCTGTAAAATTAACATAGATCTCAGTCTTTGCCTTACATTGCTACAGAGATTTAGCAGATATCAGTGAGCTTCACCTTCTACCAGTGTAACACAGCAAACAGACTCTTTTCTTGGGGGAAGAATAACTCGTAAAAGGGCCTGGGGCAGAACAAGGTGGAGCAGTTACAAAAACCTTTCACCCTSCATGGATTAATGAATGCTCCCCCAGCAAGGGAAGAGGAGAGATTACATATCCTCACATGCCGCCACTTTGGAGTAAAACTAAGTGTCATGTGCTGTCCTACCCCTACAATAAAAGGCAGGGGTAAAACTCATTTTCCTTCTATAAGATTATTATTCCCTGACAGAGAGATCCCAAAGCTTTGGTTGATGTAGATTAAGCACAATCATATATACAGATGAAAAACACATTATTAAAAAATTATTAAGGAAATGAAAACTCCTATCTATATAGTCAAGAAACAGGAGAGAAAAAAATCATTTGCATTGATTTTGTATTTGCCAGGCTGGTGRGAACAGTCATGTTTTAGCTGTTCAACTCATAGTAAGACAGCACTCTGCATAGAAGGAGATTCTCCTTGCAGATGCCTCACAACAGTTTGCAAAAGGAGATAAATGCTAAATATAACATCAACTTTATAAATATGGCAACAAGGAATGGAGTGATTAAGGAATTCAAATCCTTTTTTTTTCCTGTTAAGTCACTGGCAGACTAGCACAAAACAAAGCTTCCCCAAATCCATTTCCAGCCTAAGGTTAAATCAGTCAATTGTAGGCATTTGCAATGGTACACACGGATATGCACATAACTTCGTGGGAGTTAGATGACTTGCATATAGCCTCTGAAGTTGCAGGACTTAAAAAAAGGACATATTTGCAATTCCATACCCTAATAGACCAGGACTGGCCAACAGATCAAGTGTCTACAATGTTGGAATGGTAGTCTGTTTCTTTTTTAGAAGGAAATGTTAGGAAAAGATTTAGCAGAAACAGTCAAGTATTTGTCCTTTGGCAAGTAAAAAATCAAGAAGAAAATKTCTTTGTTTCATATAAACCACGGCTTGAAATTTTTTTTATTTGTATTGCAGTCACACTAAGTTCCCTACACCAACCAAATGTATGAGACACCTGGGATTTTAGATCCCAGTCAATGCAAACTAATTGAAACATTGTGCGCTGGGAAACAGTGCAATTCTACACTGTAGAATTAGCAATGGGACCTTTGCTTATCTTTTAGCTCCATGTGCACAGCAGCATCATCATTTCCACATATTAACAGGTGCAACCTTTYACATAAAGAGCATTTCCTAAGTTCACTATGAACTTTCACTACTCCTTTTAATGATAGAGCATTTAGGAGATAAGTGACTTGCTCTTTAGGAACTCACATGATCTTCTGGTTTCCGTGAATAACTTGAGAAGAAATACCRCTCTATTGGAGGGAATCCAAACGTGTGAAAGACTTACTGTACATGAAAGTGTTTGTTGTACAACTGGATGGGCAACACGCCAGCCAAACTCATCCATCAGGCTGTCAACACCTTACTCTTTTTCTACAGTGACCTATGTGGAAAATTCTCTTACAAACAGCTGTTCCGATTGTAGGCAGACAACAGGTTGTCTTAAACCCCCTTTCAAWTGGCYATAAAGGTTTGAGAACTTTTAGTTTCATCTGCAAGATAAACATGAACATGATGTTCCTTTGATTTACACTTATGATTTGGTTTACATTTTCTATTTGCAGAAACTCTTCTGGACCTCCTAGCTCCATTGCCAGAAAAAGACTTTTAGTTCACTGACCTTTTCCGTCTGATGTTTATGTTAGGATGTGAATCCTGCAGATGGAATTGAATAGTGTTCTCTACTTGTCCATATTTTTTTCCTAAATGGTTCATCAGCAGATGTGAAAAGACGGTTCAGAATCATGTGACAAAAGCTCAGCAATGGGTAGTGTGAATGTGATAAAGTCTTGTATTTCACAAAACTGAATTATTGTTCTGTTATGTAAAGCAGTAACTTTTCCAAGAGCACTGAAAATAAACATACTGAAAGTGTCAGAGTGACTTAGGATCCTACTCTTTTGGACCTTCAAAAAGACTTGGACCATAAGCAAGAGGCTAAATTAGTTATGTATCACCTAATTCCTTTGAATAAAAATTCCTTCTGAACAAATCTAGGCTTTGAGAGGTGCCAAAAGAAAAAACTGATTGACAGCTATAGGATGGCCATGCATAGAATTCATCATGCTGGATTAGATGCGTGAAGAAAAGTCCTGAGCTGGTCAGCGGAGACACACTTGACCTGTATTTGATGTTGCCTTCAGCATGACATGAACATCTAGTTTGTTGTGTGTACTCTACATTGTTACTACTTCTCTTCCCTGATTTCAAAAGTAGCTCATTTCCAGATATTAACGCTTGATTAGAAAAATCTCCCTTTCAATTTAATTTTGAAAATAGGGCTTAAGCCTGAAATCTTTTCTAAATCTTTTTGAAAATTCATCTGGTATTTTTTTTACAGGCTAGTATAGGCTCTTAACACCAAATAAAGCTAACCTGGCATATAGTCAATTTTGGTAACACCAAAAACTAAATGTCATTCAGCAGTGTGTCTTTAGCTCTCCAAAAGCTTCACCAGAAGTAAAATTTCTTCTTTATAAAGGTGAAAGCAGAGACACAGATATATTCTTTATACTATCTGGCAGTAATATTCAGCGATGTGGCTGATAAATAAGAACTCCTCTGGGAGCAATTCAGACAAGTTCCTTAACTTAGCCACATTTAATCMCATTTTGGAAGAAGATATTGTTTGTGAGTCTTGGGAGACTACTACATTCATGTTAGCAGAGCTCTAGCAGCCCCTCAGATTGGATTAGATTGTATCACACATTGATGTTTGACTGATGATCTGTATTAACTTTTTACTCCTAATGTGACATTTGCTTTTCTTCCAAGAGACATCATCTTCATTATTTAAGTCATGCTCAAAGAATATCCAGCAGTTTTTAAAAAAACAAAAAGGACATTCAGTAATTCATACTGTTTACTCTTCCTTACCATTGCAAGTGAGTCCCATGACTGTAGTCCAGTGCACAGAACRTTCCTTCACAGAACATGGGGACTGGTTTTATTTGTTTATCCTTTCCTTTTCACATTTCCAGAATGTCAATTCTGACATTCTGCATTTTTTTACTTCTTTGTGGCCTCAAAATTATGGATTGTGAGCTTAGTCAGAGCTGTAATTGAGAGTGAATTTAATCAAATACAAATGTTTATAAACCAGAGTCTTAAATGCTACGAACAAAAACATTTTTCCACTTCTTACAGAGCGCATTCTGTTCTGTATAAACACATTTCTATGGCTGATACTTGTACCATCAAAAACTTTTCTGACTCTTCTTGGTGCAAAGGTGTAGCAAATGCTAGTGGGAAGAAGTTCAGTTCCAGGTGACTTCAAGAAGTCACAACCTGCCTAGGTTTTAATTCTTTCAGTGACATGATGGGTAATTATTATTACCAGAGAGTCCCTTTCATTCTTGTCTACATTGATTGCACACAAAACCTCTKTCAAAATGATTAATCTCAATAGACACAATGTTGTGAAAACAATCAGAAAAGGTACTGATGTTCCTACTATTAAAAAAATCACAGGCCCATGAAGGGGTTGAAGGCAGTGCACCCAGAAAGGTCAGACCAGCTACTCATCTTACATGGGAGCCATAGAGATGAAATTAGGGGAATACTGAAGAAATTCAACAGATTGACCAAAATAACTGACACTGCTTGTATCAATTAATAGCCACCCTCAGTTTTGTCACTGTCCTGCTCAAAATATCCTACAGGGTATAAATTCCCCAAAGTTATAGTCTAAGGAATACAAAGAACACATACACTTCTACCATAAGAAATATACTGTTTAGGTCAAAAGTTAATTTGTTATTTCCTGTTCAAGCAAAAGAAGACCAATTTCTGGCTGCTTCTGCAATTGTTTTGCTGGTCAAAATGGCTATGAGAGCAATATATGGCTCAGTATGTGTACATAATACATATATACATATATACATATATATATATACACAACCTGTTTAAAGGCCAATAAAACCTCAGGATAAAATATCACTTTATAATGAATTTAAAATGGCAGGCACCATGAGCACCTTCATATTTGTGTACCTTGTGTTTACAGAATAGGYCAACTTGTGGATATTCCTCTCAAGTTCACCCAGAACACTTCCCCCAAGCTAAAAGACAATGTTTCATTTCTATAATAGCACTTTCTGTAAAAACCCTAAAAAAGAGGAATATTTCCAAATCACAATGCCATTTCAAAATCCAAATCTTAAACTTTTTAAGTTACAAAATGAAATATGTTCAATTTCYATTATTTTCCTTTTTTAATGGGAAAATCTTTGAGCTAAATAGGACCTAAAAATTATTACCTTCACTCCTCCTAAAACTGCATTTTTGGGCAGTATTGCTATTCACAAAAAATAGTTTGATATTCACATTACCACTTGGCGTATAATAATGGTTTATTTGAAGTATTCAATACTTGGGAGTGCCTCGATACTGCTTACCAAAGTATTTGAATTTTCCTAATATTCATGTCTCTTTAGGCAAATGAATTGTGATATTGATGTTTAGAAACACCCTGGGCAGGCTACCAAATCAGGGCACTTGTATTTCAAGGAGTTAATTAACCGCTCCAGTTAATACTGAGAGGTATAGCTAATGAGATAGAGTAGCAGCCTTAAGAAGTTCCCATCCTTTCTCCCAGCTACCAAAAGCTCTTCCTTCAACACAGCTCACATCCCATCAGTTGTATGGACACAACCATAGGGCAGCTCAGTGAACTCAATCATTCAACTGATCCAGGCTAAAAATAATTCTGTAACTYTTTTCCTTATTTTCCTTAATCCAAAGCAAGCAAGTAAGAAAGATATAATCTCTGCTACAAAGGGAAAGGTGGTAGGAAGGGGCAATATCTTTCATTATAGTAAG